TTTAACCCTCACATCAGTCCTGTGAGGTAGACATCACTATCTTTGTCTCATAGAAGAGCAAGCAAGCCCAACAGGGTTAAAGGGAGCATGTCAACATCACATCACTACCATTAGATTCAACCTGGACCACAGAGGCTTCTCAGTCTTTGTAAAAACTGGCAGGTTTCCTGCCATAAAAATAATACACAGGGGGCCAGGGATTTAGCTCAGTGGTTCTGCTTCCTGCCTTGCAAGTGCAAGGTCCCGAGTTTGATCCCCAGTACAAAAAAAAGAAAAATACACAGGCTTCTTAGAGGATATCTGGGAAACACAGAAAGGAAAAAAATCACCCACAGACAATCCCTATTGGCATTCTGCAGTCATTTTTCCATGCATTATTTAGACTGATTTATTCAGCGATCATATTGTCAATACCGCATTGCATACCGGCTTTTGATACCACAAACATTTATCGGCATTATTTGACATTTCTCATAAAGGCCATTTTGATGACTACATAAATATTGCATCAAGCTGATATACCCGAATTTACTTAACCACTCCCCCACCAATACTGGGCATTTAGGTTTCTTCCATTTTTTCTTCAATATTCTAAATAGGGCTGCAATGAACTTGTTTGTGCTCAGGCTTTATGATTTCTTTAGGGTGCATCCCCAAAGGTGAGATTTCTAGATCCAGGTTTAAGCAATTTTCAGGCTCTTCATGTACCCTTAGAGACCTGGTATCTAATTCTAACCCTATCATTAAATTGCTGTGTGGTCCAAACCAAATCACCTCTCTGGGCCACCAATCCTGCATTTGGAAGGGATGAGCAGACTAACCCAACACAAGGGGAATGCTAATAAAGCATAAGCAATAGAAGGCTTTTAACCTCTGGATGCTGCACTAACAGAATCAACTGAAATATGGACTGCACCATCTACTTACTCTGACCACACCTTCCTCAGCACATGTGGTCTCTTTCAAGCCATTAGCATGCTGATTTAGCAGATCCTCTGCATGAAAGCATGTAATTTGCTCCAGATGGAAAAGATTAGTAACAGAGGCCTCCAACGCAAAGAGGAGGTCACAGGTGAGAGACCAGAAACACCAGGCACTGCCTCTCCATCTTACCCTGCCCCCTAAGGGAACACATCCCACCTCCAGCTTCTGAGAAGGCAAGGGGTCCACAGCATTACTGCACAGCAGAGCCCACAAGCTTCAGCACAGCCTCCGGCCAGGGGCAATCACCAGACCTAAGATAGGCCAATCAGACTCCTTCTCCCAGAAAATTGAGCTCCACAGTCACAGGAAGTAGGAGCAGGGAGTCAGCCATGGCTAACCCAAGCGGTGGTGGAACTAAGATGTTAACAATAAGCCCAGAACATTGCTTTGCAGGGAGGAACAGGACAATAAGGTGAGTGTTCAGAACTAGAACCATCCTTACAGCTCAGTTACCGTAGCAGCCAGCTGTACCTCACTTCCTGTCTCGGAGAAAGTCCAGGAGCTGCTGACTGTGTCCTTGTAATGCTACAACCCACAGCCTCTGAGGTTTCTGTTTCTGGAATCAAGTGTACCCTAGTACTCCTTGGATAGAGGAACTGGAGACTTAACAGATGCTTTGTCAGGGCAATAGAACTGGGGAGAGGGGTAGGCAAAGAATATCAGCAAATAAATCTTTTTTTAGAGGGAGACAGTACTACTGGGGATTGAACTCAGAGCCTTAAGCATGGTAGGCAAGTGCTCTACCACTGAGCTACATCCCTAGCTCTGTTTATTTTATTTGGAGACAGGGTCCTGATAAGTTGCCCAGGCTGATCTTCAAAATGCCCGCCTCAGATTCCTGAGTAGCTTGGATTACAGGCATCACCACCATGCCTAGCTAGCAAATAAATCTTTAAAAGCTTGCTCCTATAACCACTTCCAAGGTGAAAAACTTAATGAGCCCCAAAACCAGATCAATAAAAGGTTTGTTCAGTCATTTCCTACAGAAGGTGCCCTTTTCAAGATGGCCTAAACTGGAGGGAACCAGGATCCACTGGCCTCAGTTGTGAACTCAAGTCCTGGGCAACACAGGCAGGTGCATGTTGTCTTCCCAAGAGGCCTCCTGGCTGGCACACTCTGCTTACAGAGGAGGCTAGAAAATCTCAAGAGGCAGTGGTACAGCATGTGCTTAGCATGTGAGAAGCCCTGAATTCAGTCTCCCAGCACCAAAATAGAGAGAGAGAGAGAGAGAGAGAGAGAAAGATGGGCTAAAAGGAGAACTAAAGAAATTGTCATCACACTGGACCAGCTGTGCCCCTGCATAGGAAATGTCTACTTCCAAGGGTGAGGCCTGGGAGTAAAAGCAATGAGTAGTAGGGAAAAGTTCTAGCTCTTGAGCCAGGGAATATTCCCCCAAGGGCCCAGATTAGTGTTTCTGGGGGCCACTGCCCCTCCTGGCTCCCACTCTGGGAAGCGCTAAGAGCAAATGTCACATAGCCTCCTGTCCTCTTCAGTGGCTCCTCACTCCTTCAAGGCACGGGGTTAGAAGTCAAAAGGTGCTTCATCCTGACTACAAGCAAATCACTTCATTGTCCCAATCTGTTTCAATAGCAGTAAAACTGGGAGACACTGCCTGCCTCACATCTCACAGATGTTAGGCTAGACAGTAAGGACTAGAGCAGCAATGCTCCTGAGGGCTGTTCACTACCCCATGTTACCAGAACACCACGGACATTCACTGCAGGCCACCTGCACACTGGGAGGCACAGCCTCCATTTAGCCTGCTGATAGCTGACAGTGCACAAGAATAGAAGGCTCTGAGAAGTTAAATTCCCAAGACTTACAAGACCATCTGCCTCATGATTTCCTATTCCCAGGCTACCTCCCATTCCAGTGGGGATCCTGTTTGCTTGACACAGGCCACAAAGGCAGCCAAGCTGGACACCCACTCCCACTGCTCTCAGAAGGGAGACCAAGGCATGCAGAGTGCCAATGTCCCTGGTAGAAGGTGAAATTGTGGCCTAGAGAGATACCTGCAGTTATTGTCACCAGCAGAAGGTCATTAGGAAAGATGTGGACCCCGCCCACAACAGTGAATATGGTTAGAGAGGTTCTCAAACAAAGGGCCAGCAGGTGTTAGATTCAGGTTCACTTGAAGGATCTTAGACATTTTAAAATCAATGAGGAAAAGTCAAAGCAGGTATCCAGGGGTTGAACTGTCAACATGAATATTCTCTGAACCCTGATGGTGGCAGGAGAGGATCAGTGCATCATAGGGAGAAGGGAACTCAAGCAGGCAAACAACGCCAGCGGGAAGGGCAAATGTGTGCAAGGCTAGGAGTGTAACAAGGGAAAAGACAGAATGAGACCAAGACAAAAACAGTTCAGAAAGATTGTTTGCAAAAAGGCAGAGCTGTGATAACCCTTGAGAAAACCAGCTGAGAGAAAGTTGGGAGAGGAAAAATAGGGGCTGCCAGGGACAAGTCAGGGCAAGGCCAGCTGCCTGCATGTGGCCACTTACAAAATGAGCTACACGGTCCAGCACATAAGCTCAGACCAGTGCATGGGCGAGAGGTTAAATAGATATTATGGTGAATCCATCTGCTCAGAAGGGCCTATTCCTGTAGCAGTCAAGAAAAAAATAATTAAAAAGCACCTATTCTGTGTGCCTGGAACTGAATGAAAGGGCCAACTTGCCAGCTACAGGAGAACTGGAGAAGAAGGTCTAATTCAAGACTGAGGGTAACAAAGACCAGCAAAGGGCATTATCACTGATGGTCACTGAAGACTGGCCCCAGATTAAAAGAAGGAATAAGCAGAAAGTGACCAGAGAGACCATTTGACAGACTGAAAATTAGAGTTCTATTGTGAAGACAAAACATTGAACACAGGATTGCTCGCTTCGGCAGCACATATACAAAATGTTGAACACAGGATCAACAACAAATTCTAGAGCTGCCTAGAGACCAGTGGGCTTAGTGAGAGATCTGAAAATCATGTCAGAAGTGAAAAGGGCCCATTGTGTTTAGGCCGGAGAGAGGAGACCAAGGGCCACACTCCAGGAGCCTGAAGTCAGCCCTTAGCTCTCTGGCAGTGCAGGCTGGTGGCTCCCATCCGCCCTACTGCTCTGTTTGGTCCTCTTTTTCTACCCAGGGATGAAACAGTAGCCCTCACCTCTCACACAGTGCCTTTCTGGGTGAACAGAAGATCCCAGTCAATAGTTCCTAAGGTTGTTAATGACAACAATTAAAACCTCCCAACTCAAAATTCAAAAACCTAACAGCACCCCCCCAAAAAACTAACAAGGATATGTAGTTGTTCTAAGTAGTTACTGAATGCAAAGTTAAGAAAAAACTAAGTTACTTGAAAGTAGATAAAGGATTCAAAATTAAGAAAATTTTTCTAATATGCAGATCGGTCCAATAATTTGGAGATACAGAAGAGATTCCTTAGTAAATCTCAAAGGTCTTATCTAACTCAAGATTCCAGAAAATAAATTTTACAGTAGAACTATCATAGACACATCTGGAAAAATCACGAAGAAGAAGAATTAGCAACCAGTCTTTAAAACTGAAAGAAGTACACTGAAGACAAATAAAAATGTGGATTTACAGACTGCATGGTTAATAAGCTTATAGTTTACATTACTCTAAGTGATGGGAAGAGCTGAAAATAGAAATAAGTTCATGAAGGGCTTAGCTGAATGAATGAATGAATATTCAACCAAGGCAGGTTACCAAAGGCAGTAGGAGTTGTATTTGAATGCCCCTGCAAAGGCTGATGGCACAGTCAGCACATGTGCCCAGCCCCCGGGGTACACCTGCCCCTCACAGTCCATAGCACACAGGACCAAATGGACTGGGATTGTTTCCAGTGCTAGCCATGGAGAAATGTCCCACACAGCACCTTCCTACAGAAAGGCCCAGCTAGTGATGCCCTGAACCACTCCAGCCCCATAAGGAGCACAGGCTCAGAGCCCCACTGACCAAGCCCTGCCCCTCCCACAGGCGGGGAGAAGACCACAGAGCATCACTCACAGTCTGGACAGAGCCTGGTTGTTCTGGAACAGCAGTTCTGGCAACATGTGCAGCTGGTTCCGATTTAGTCGTCTGAAAAAGAGAAGAGTTAGAAATCACTTACACGGGCCAGGGTTTTAGCCCAGAGGTTCCGCCGCCTGCCTTGCAAGTGCAAGGATCTGAGTTCAATCTCAGTACCAAAGAAAAAAAAAGAAATCACTTACACACTCAGGAAATCAGAATGACCTCTCAGAAGGCCCCAGATGCAGTGTCACAAGGGTCATTCAAGTCCTAGCAGGGTCAGCATGTAAGCACAGGGAAATTACTTCCCCTGGGCTACAGTTTTGTCCATACAGTGGAAATTCTACCATCCAGCTCTTGGGTAGACGAGGACAGAATATCTGTGACAGAATAGTCCTCCATTCTCTGGTCCAACACCCATCATCACCGTAAACACTTGCAAGAGCCTTTGTAATCAGTAAGGCACTGATTCTAATACATCTCTGCCTGTGAGTTGGATCCCGGATGTGAGATACACCCTATGGGGTGGGAATAACCAAACATCCCAATTCCAAAGTACCTCCATATGCATTTGGCTATGCAGTAGTTTAATGTTTTTATCATTTCCTTTGGGTCTTTTTTCAAAATGAAAACTATTTGATTTATTGTTTTATCATTAATGATAATGCAGCCTTAAAAAAAGAATCCTCAAAAATAGGAGACAAGGTACTCACCTGTATTTTTCTCACTCAACTGTGCCTTTCCATGTCAAAGAATTGAGATTTACTTTATTTGTTTGTTTTTTGGTTCTGGGAATCGAACTCGGGACCTTGCATTGAGATTTACTTTGTTTGCAGTGCTGAGGACGGAAGGGCCTCATGCATTCCAGGCAAGCACTCTGTCACTGAGCTTTACCTTCACCCTCCCTTTTAATGGCTGAATAGTATTTCTATAATTTTTAATTCTCCTAAAGGCAGACAGAGACCTTTTCAGCATTATAAACACAGGCAGGAATGGGAAGGCTGGCTCTGGAGTGCAGCCTGAGAAGAAGATGTAGTGCAAAAAGGACCCAGACTTGTCCTTGGAAGATGGCCAAGTTTAACCAGATCCAAGTCTCCCACTCTGAGTAACTACTTCTCTGACACCTGAATCTAGGAAGTAATCCAGGACACTATCTAAATTTTGAAAAACTACAATAGACAATATTAAAAGTTAGCAAGTATCGTTTGGCCTCTACTACCCAGCAGTTCATCCCATCAAGAGATCTGGCAACAATAAAGTACATAAAGTACAGGACCTTGGTCTGTGGACAGCCAGCAGACCACCACCTGAGAAAGGGGGTGGCAGAAGCAGCACTATCTCCGACACCAGCCAGGCCTACTAAACTCAAGTCTGCATTCTGTAAGATCCCCAGTGACTGACATGCACACTGAGGCTGAAGTGGCACTAATGCACCACTCAGCCCCAGCCATGGGTCCACAGCACAGTCTAAATTACACACTAAGATCATCGTTAACAGTTCCTTAACACACTACGAAAAACCAGCTCAGCAACAATGTTCTTCTGGAGGGAGAGAGGAAGACACTTAATTTTATGTAGCCAGCAATTGCTCATCTGTGGTTACCTCCGACAAGGTCATCTTTCATCTGATATGTGAGAACTGACTTTGCCACCACATTAGGGACTGCCATGTTCCTGGACAGTTCAGACAATTGCATCCGCACCTTTAGAAAACCAGCTGAAAGACATTTACTTTAAAGGGCAGGCTCCTAGTGAAATACACTCTTGTCTTGGGGGGCAAAAAGGACCACCAACATAATCCTTAAAACAACAGGGGTAGACATGAGATCATTCCTCTTTCCTTAACTCCAGTCCAATAAATTAATCCTGCATTTACACTGCTTGGTAACCACTGGCTTTTGCTTTCTCCCAAGACTTTCTTGTTTTTCTGGCTTCAGTTTTTGAAAAACACTTACAGGCGAAAGGAATTCAATGCCTAGTTTAAATTAAAAAATCAAAGGACACCAAAAGAGGGAGCCAGCATGGTGAAGGGCATGCAGGTAACTCCAGGAGTGGCTGCCCCAGTATTAGCCTTCACCGTGTGCCAGGTACTAGGATAACTGCTTTGCAGACATTCCTCATCACCTGAGGGAAAGCAGAGTGAAAAATGGGCTTTCTTCTTGTGGATCTCTTGCCAGCAGGGCCTTCCATTCACGCACACACACTCCTCCTTGTACCAACCCACAGGAAAGGGTTTACTGTACCATCTTGCCTCATGGTGTGGCTTTTCATAGGTGCCTAACGTTTGCTTGTTGGCTTTGTTGAGTTGTCTGTCTCCGATAGATGAGGAAACTGTGATATTAAGAGGTGAGTTACCCATGTCATCACTGAGTAGTAGCTATGGGATTCCAAAGCCTCCCTTTCCCAGGCCACCCAGCTCACAGGGTAGTTGAGCCTGCTCCCTGCCCTCTATCTGCTGGCTAGCAGATGCCACGGTGCACCAATCCTACCCTACCAGCAGGCCTCACTTCTGCTTCTACACTCGAGTTTCCTACCTGCCACAAGAACCAGCTGTGTCTCTCCTCAAACTTGTTTATGCTATTCATAATTATTCATAATTATAATTAAATTTGATTAGATTCATAAATGAATGAAATAGTAGTGGGGGAAAATGACTTGTCTCTATGAAAACTAAGTTGAATGCTTTGGAAAAATCCAATAGAAAGGAAACTTGTTCGAGTTTGATCCCTCGTACCAAAAAAAAAAAAAAAAAAAGAAAGGAAACTTGTTTATTATAAGGCTACTGAATTAAGTAAAAGACTTAAGTCTCCAGCCAGGTGTAGTGGTGCACACCTGTAATCCCAGTACTCAGGAGGCTGAGGCAGGGGGATCGCTGTGAGTTCAAGGGCAGCCTGAACTACATAGTGAGACCTTGTCTCAAAAACAAAAAACAAACAAACAAACAAAGATTTGAGTCTCCATCCAGATTGCTTCCAAGTACCTTTAAAATTTTTTCACTCTACCTTCAAGAAATCAAAATAAAAAATCATAAATCAGGTATTTGTGAAGCTGGCTGGGATGGTACATGACTGTAATCCCAGTACTCTGGGCTGAGGAAGGATCGAAAGTTCAGGTCCAGCCTCATCAGTTTAGCAAGACCCTATCTCAAAAGTAAAAAATGAAGGGCTGGGGATTTAGCTCAGTGGTTCTGCTCCCTGCCTTGCAAGCACAAGATCCCAAGTTCGATTCCTGATACCAAAAAAATAAAAAATGAAAAAGGCTGGGATGTAGCTCAGTGCCAAGGCCCCAGATTCAATCTTCAGCATCACAAAAAAGAAAAAAAATATATTTGTATGTGGTTTGGGTAAGGAAAGTGTACAGAACCACAATGAGTATCTCATACTAAAAAAAAATCTTAGCCAAAAAAGAAAAAAGGAAAGAAAAGGCTGGGGAAGGGGTCAGTGAATGCACATCCATGTTCTAACTGAAAATGAAATGTTCAGCCTGTATGGTTTTTTAGGGCTCCCTACCTCACTGGTGTCTGGTGAGTTCAGAGAGGGCAGCCACTGAACTGACCACTCCACAGACTGTGCCATGGGCAGCACGTACCAGACACCTCCAGGGAGGCAACAGCTGTCTACTGTGAAATGGCTGGCGGCCCACCCAGAAGAAAGGAACTGGAAAAGGACAGAGGAACAAAGTCTACAGTGACAAGTCATAACTCAAAACAAGACTGGAAAACTCAGGATGGTAGGACCAAGTACAATGGGGTCACCCTAGTCATGTCTAGGCCCCCAACCCCCTGCCCCTCTCCTCCTCCAAGGCATAGAGAAACATTTGAGCTGCAGAGTTGGAGTTCAAATGGGCTAGGGCCAAATCAGCCCTTCACAGTCAGGTCGTTCATTTGTTCTAAGCCTTTTAGGGTAAGCAAACACAAGGACTAAACATCTGGTCTTGCTGTGAGCTCCTTATCACTAAATTCCAGGCCTGGATGAGGGATACAAAGGAAAGGTTCCCTGAATTTTCTTTCAAGCTGCAAGAGGACAATGAGACAATCATATTCCTTTCCCTTTGCTTAATATTTTACTCTTTGACACAAAAGTGAAAGGTAAGGTGTTAGGTCCCGGTCATTAAGAGCTCAGGCTTTGAAGGTGGAACGACCCAGTTCTAATCCCCTATTCTGGACCATTGTGAGCAAGTGACTTAACCTATGTGCGCCTCCGTGCCTCATCTATAAAATACACTTGCAGCAGTGTTGTTTTAGGATTAAATGAGATATTACACAGGAAAGCACTTACTTGGGTACCTGGAACATTGTAATGCACTCAGTGAGTATAATTACTGTTATGAACTCATTGCAAGAATAAAATTAAAGTTACCTGTTTTCTCACTACTTGACATTATTGAGAACTGATGGTCTCAATTGCTTTCCTCCTATATTTTACTCACAAATTGTTTTTATTTACACGAATGTCACATCCAGCCTTTTGAAGTTAACATTATATTGTGAGCACATTACCATGATCTTAACTATTCTTCAAAAATATGATTTATGGGGCCGGGGATTTAGCTCAGTGGTTCCG